ACCAATAGTCTTAAACTGTCTTAAGACGACTGGTCGTGTGATGGTCAATTTTCGTGTAACTGTTTCAAATATGCACCATTCCAGGTATTGAAGTTGAATAAGGTCCGATCGATTTAATAGTATTCTACACCCTTCATGATTTTTCGATTCTATCACTAGTACGTTTTCACCGCTGTACATCATACTAGATAGCTTATTAATTTCCGTTTCCAAAAATAACGTACGCTTATATTTTTCGGGTTGTTCCAATATGAAAGACAGTATATTTCCCATCAGCGAAAATATACGTTTAAGGAAATCCGGCGAAATTTTAACATAGCGAGATGATGTTATTAAATGGATGACGACTTGAAAATTTTCAGTAGGGTCAATACCGATATGCACAAACTTACGGTTGGTAAAGTCAATTGTGTAACTTGTGGACACGACGAGTTCAGCTGGCGGTGACGGAGGTGTATATTTAAAAGGTTTTTTCCAAATATTGGCCATATTTGCGACTGGTCCAGCCATACTTATTTTTAAACACAGAAAAATAAATTTAAAAACCGAAAAATAAATTTAAACACTTGTAAAAATATTTTAAACACCGAAAAATAAATTTAAACACTTGTAAAAATATTTTAAACACCGAAAAATAAATTTAAACACTTGTAAAAATATTTTAAACACCGAAAAATAAATTTAAACACTTGTAAAAATATTTTAAAGACTGAGAGAGTAAATATATAAGTGAACAACGGTTAAAGGTAGTACACGGACTAAACGGAAAATCAAGAGTCTCTTCTTACCATGGACACTAAGGGATTTTTAGGGGTGGTGGTAATGGTGGTGATCGTGTAGAAAAAAAGCAATATGGCGGGGGTGAACAGAGATTTTGACCATATATGGTGACTATAATCCTTTGAAATAGCCGCATCCACCATATAAATCGGTCACATTCAATAAATTACCAATGACAAAAAGAATAGCGGCACACACATATAACGGTAAAAGCAAAGAGAGTTACTTTCTTATATAAAAGGAAAGGTATATGCCGCCAAAGGACGGTGTATACCGCCAAAGGATGACCCATATAACGATAATCCTTTAAAAAAAAACCCGAATATATAGAAATCGGTCAAATTCAATGACAAAAAGGGCATATGCCGCCAAAGGTATATACTTATAACGGTAAAAGCAAAGAGAGTTACTTTCTTATATAAAAGGAAAGGTATATGCCGCCAAAGGATGACCCATATAACGATAATCCTTTAAAAAAAAACCCGCCTATATAGAAATCGGTCAAATCCAATGACAAAAAGGGCATATGCCGCCAAAGGTATATACTTATAACGGTAAAAGCAAAGAGAGTTACTTTCTTATATAAAAGGAAAGGTATATGCCGCCAAAGGACGGTGTATACCGCCAAAGGATGACCCATATAACGATAATCCTTTAAAAAAAAAAACCCGCCTATATAGAAATCGGTCAAATCCAATGACAAAAAGGGTATATGCCGCCAAAGGACTAAAAATTCTTAGAAATTACCAACAAAGGTATATACTTATAACGGTAAATTATGGTGGTTGATGTTAACTATGTGCCGAAAGATATTATTATGATTACACTATGTTATAAATTTGTATACTATACATAATATTTTATATTTATCTAGTTAAATGAGTGAAAATAACGCTAAGACTATAAGTGGTCATGTGGCCTAGTGGGTTAAAGCGTCATCGATATAAGATGGGGGTCGAGGGTTCGAACCCCGATCAATTATTTTGTAGTTTTTTTTTCCCGTCATATAATTGTACACGTCTAGCGCGGATATAATATATTATATGATAAGTGATAACTGATAACGGTAATAATGATAAGTGATAACGGTAATAATGATAAGTGATAACGGTAATAATGATAAGTGATAACGGTAATAATGATAAGTGATAATATACATCTCGCGCACGTGCGCGACCGGGCGGCGGGATCAGCGAATCAGCAAGGAACAGCTGATCGTCAGGGATCAGCTGTTCAGCAGGTATCAGCGGATCAGCAGGTATCAGCGGATCAGCTCCATTGTGTGTTTGAATTGTCTATTTTATACTACTTATGTTATTATATTCTATGTATGTCAATATAGTATAAAATTCAAAATGTATTTCAAATACGTATTTTTGAATGATTAATTACAATACTCAACTAAAGATCACTAGATAGTAAATTAATTGTATTTATATTTAAAATGTTTAATGTAGGTATATTGTATAGTCTTAATTTTACAAAAAGTATATAAATATAAATACCTATAGGTACATTGTGGACGTATATGAATAATTAAATTCAGTTACATTTAGATGTTAATTTAAATATTATGGTTATAATAAAAACAGTATAATATGTTATAAGTTTAAAAAAAATTTTAAAATAAAAAACGCAACGTAATGAAAATCAATCATTGATTATTTTTTTAGTTTCCAACCAATGAAAGTAGTTGGAAAAATATAGCAACAGATTTTTACGATAAATGGAATTTCCCCAACTGCCTCGGGGCTATCGACGGAAAACATATAGTAATCCAGTGCCCTGCAAACAGTGGATCTGAATTCTATAATTATAAGGGAACTTTTAGTATTGTACTTATGGCTGTCGTGAACTCGAATTATAGTTTTACTTATGTGGACATTGGCTGTCAAGGCAGAATCAGTGATGGTGGCGTACTTCGGAACACGTCGTTTTTTAAAAAACTGGAGACTGATGAATTAATACCACAAGAAGGAATACTACCTAATACAAATGTTTCATTACCATATGTATTTGTGACTGATGAAGCTTTTGCCCTAAGTAAGAACATAATGAAACCTTACTCAGGAGTATATGAAAATGGAAATTGCAAAAGAATTTTTAATTATCGACTGTCTAGAGCACGCAGAGTAGTTGAGAACGTGTTTGGAATTATGGCCTCAGTATTCCGTGTATTTAGAGGACCTATACTTTTAGAGCCAGAAAAAGTTAGAGATATAACAATGACTTGTGTATTGTTGCATAATTTCTTAAGGAAAAGCAGATCATCAAATTCCATATACACACCACCTGGAATTTTCGATACTGAAAATAATGATGGAATTGTAATACCAGGTTCTTGGAGGTCCGAGCAAAATTGTACCAAATCTATGTTCTCATTACAAAGAGTACCGAGAAAATCTGGACTTGAAGCAAAAATGGTTAGGGATCAGTTTGCTGAATATTTTATGACAAGCGGAACGGTGGAATGGCAAGAAAATGCTAAATAATAAGTTAAAATTAAATTATTATTGCTTATGTAACATATTTGTAATATACGTATTTACGTATTTGTATTTACGTTATTTATTTAATATTCTTATTATTATATACACTCATAAAAATAGCATTAATAAAATACATTTAACATATTAAAATACTTAATAGAATTATTCATTTTTTAAACCAAACTTAAACTTAAAAATATTTATGATAAATACATTAGTAATTATTTCATTGAAACTATTTTATTGATTAGATTATTATTTATTTCTGCTTTTAAAATTATATAGACGATGTAGTAGTTTATTTCGGGTCATTCATATTTATTTTTCACAGCTATATCGTAAACATAAATACCTACACTTTAAATGGACAAAAATAACATAGAGACTATGGTTGGTAGAATACATGTCGACACCGGTTACTACATGTCTAAACCGGTGACTAGAGCAACGTGAATGATTACTATTTATATTTATATTACTATTTATATTTTCTGCATTGGCTATTGGCATTTTTAACGTGCACAGAGCCGTACTTAGGAGAATATAATATTATTGAAATATATCATAGTAAAAGTATAAAAAATAATAAATAAATATTTATTAATTAAATTTTTTTTTTTATTTTTTATAAGTAATATACAATCTGTACCAATAGAGGCACAATACGAATATGGGCTATATTATTTACAATTAAAGGTTGATGGAAGAAGCTACTGCAGCCAACGAAGTGTATTATCCAAATAATAAAATATAATTAAACAAAATATAACTAATTAAACTTACCTCTGTTGAAATTGTTTTTTTTGCAACGTAAATCCCATGCAGAAATGACATTGCATTGTAGGCAAACCAGTCGGGCTGAATTACGTCTTTGGCACCACTCCCAGTACCCTTGCTTGCTTTTACTTTATTTAAAAGTTTTCTATAAGTAGCCATAAGAGAATCTTTTTTTTTTTTATTTCTGTAATGTCAGTTTTGACACTAAAATTACAAAAATACAAAAATCAATATTTAAAAATATTATAAAAAATTCAAAAATTAATCTAACCTTAATTTATTTTCTATCTCCTTCCACGCATCATGAACTAAGTTTCTGTTTTTATGACTCGGATGGCGTAGGTTCCAAATTTGTGGATATCCTTCATATAGTTGCAAAAACTCTATTACTTCGTCATTTGACCATTCCATGATAATAAATATTAATAATGATTTGAATAGTGATTAAAAAATAAAAAAGACCAAAAAACGTATAGGTACTATACCAAAAAACGTATAGGTACTATACCAAATAACGTATAGGTACTATCAATAGCTCGCCGAACCGCACGCCTGTGGGAACCCTGTCTAAATGCGCGGCTCGTTTACTTTGGCGCGGACACATCGGACCGACAAATTTTGGATAGACACGAGCCTGGGCGAGCTATACCACGCCTAGACGAGCAAGAGCGTTCCCACGGCGCGTGTAGTGTACCAAGCCAGCGCATTTGACTCGTGGCTCGCCGAGCCACGCGCCGTGGGAACGCGCCTTAACCCATTCATGCCCAGTGGCCTATATGTAGGACACCGGTTTATCGCATCGTTATCTAATCTATTTTTAGAATTATTTTCCCCAATCTGTTCTTATCCACTACGTGACAGTGTATTTATTATAACTAAACTTATTTCGTTCATTAGAACATGATAATTTTATTATAAAACAATTTATGTACATCAGTGTATTTTTCAGTCACCATGGCGTCATTTTCAAAGTAAGTAAAAATTATTTTGTTTATCTAAAATTTGCATACACAATTACAAAAACTTTTAAGTAGTGTATGGTAAACATATTTTACGAACTGAGGTACATATTTAATTTATATTTAGTTATTTATCAGCATACCAAACATAGTGTCCTACATGTAGGACACTGGGTACATCAGTTACTAAAATTATATTACCATACATAAATATGATAAAAATGATAAAGCATAAATTAAATTATTTTTTATTAGTTTTAAATACAATATATAACTGTTTTTTAATTTTATAGACGACTAACTGTTCACGAAGTAACCGAATTATTAGAACAAGGGGATATTGATGATATTTTGGACGATGTTACTGACATATTTATGGAGCCACCAGTAAATGTCAATAATGACATCACTGATGAAGACAGCGATGATGATGGACCGATAGGTGATATAAACCACATGCCGGCTAGCTTACTAAACGCACATATAGTTATACATGATCCTGATACAGAAAACACAGAAGTAGCAAAAAAACACAAAGTAAGTGATAAAAAAATACGAAAGAAAATAAAACAAAACATTTCATCAAGGCCAAAAAATAAAATAACAAAACAAAATCAAGATGCTCAACAAACTGTATTATGGCGTCAGGGAGATCTCGAAACTCCTAATATTTTTGTTGATGATCAAAAACCCAATTTATTTTATAATACATTACAACCCTATGAACTGTTTGAGCTATTTTTCGACCAACAAGTGTTGGAAATGATTGTTGATTATTCAAATAATTATGCATCTAATAAAAACCAATCACTTCAAATTGATGTAAACGAACTAAAGTGTTTTTTAGGTATCTTGTTATTATCGGGTTATAATGAATTATCACGAAGACGTATGTACTGGGAAAAATCACCAGATACCCATAACGACTTGGTGTCAGGTGCTATGCGACGAAATCGTTTTGAGCAAATTTTTTCATATATTCATTTCTGTGATAATAGCAAGCTTGACGAGCATGACAAATTTTCCAAAATAAGACCATTACTTTCCATGCTAAATTCAAGGTTTTTGATACACACACCACATCAACAATTTCATAGTATAGATGAATCAATGGTTCCATACTTCGGCAGACATGGCTGCAAACAGTTTATAAGGGGCAAGCCTATTCGATTTGGTTTCAAAATTTGGGTTGGGACACTGAGATTAGGCTATGTAGTCTGGATATCTCCATATCAAGGAAAAAGCGGTGATCTTCAAAATACTGAGTTTGGTCTGGGTGCGTCAGTTATCATATCATATGCAAATAATTTATTGGCACACCGTATAGCTCCATATCATTTGGTATTTGATAATTTTTTCACTGGTTTGCCTTTATTAGAAAAGTTGAGTGAAATGGGTTTATATGGAACAGGGACAATACGTTCAAATAGAACAAAAAAATGCCCTATAAACGTGGCTGCAATGAAAAAAAAGAAAGAGGTTCGTACGAAAGTTATGTTTCTGATTCGGGTATTTTGGTATGTGCATGGAAGGACAATAGCACTGTTACCATAGCATCGAATAATGTTGGAGTTGAGCCAGTCACAGCCGCAAAAAGATGGTCTGTTTCAGATAAAAAAAGTATAAGATTACCACAACCACAACTTATACATTTATATAACCAAAATATGGGTGGTGTTGATCGTATGGATCAAAATGTATCTCAATATCGAATTTCCATTCGTGGTAAAAAATGGTATTCGTGTATAGTATCATACTCTATTGATTTGGCTGTTCAGAATGCTTGGCAGTTGCATAAACTCCATACTGAAAAACCAATGGACCTTTTGGCTTTTCGTAGACATATTGCGACTTATTATCTACAAAAGTTCAACAAAGCACCAAATCCTGGACGAAAAGGTGGAAAACCATCTAGTTATATTCCTAGATATGATGGTGTAATGCATTACTTAGTTCCACAAGAAAAGCAAACAAGATGCGCAGAATGTCATCAAAAAACCACTTCAAGGTGTAACAAATGTGATGTTGGAGTGCATTTGAAGTGCAACATTGAGTATCATACATTAAAATAATTAATATTATGTTTAAACTTTAAATTATGTTGATCAATTATAATTATATCAGTACCTATATAATTTTGTTTTGTATTTGTATATTACACCTTATTTTCCCACTGTCCTACATTTAGGACACCTATTATCAAGCAAACTATGGGTAAAAAAAATTTTTTTTAATTTTTTTTGGTTTCCCAAGAACAACAATAGTAGAAATAAGTTAGAAAAAAGTTAATTTAAAAAAAAAATTAACCTTGGGCATGAATGGGT